TGTTGGAGACAGGATCCTGGTCTAGATCAGTGGTTCCACAACTTTAACAGCCCACGAACCCCTTTCACTAAATTGTGAAATCTCGTGAACCTCCTCCTAAAAATGAATATTTTCAGGGATTTAAGTTTAAATTTCCTCAGTGTGATGGATGCCCCAACTGCCCGGCTCCACTCTTCCTGGGGCTTGGGCTGGGGTTCTGGTTGCGTTTTGTGCGTTTTGAGCTCCCCTGCTGATGGGGGCAGGGCTCGGGCTGCCAGCCTCAACTACCCGGCCCCGCTCTCCCTGGGGCTCGGGCTGCCAGCCCCACGTGGAGAGCTATGGTTTGGGCTGCTGGCTCCCCCACTGACCGCCGGGGCTCGGGCTGCCAGACCCAACTGCCCGGCCCCGCTCTCCCTGGGGCTCGGGGTATCTGCCCTGCAACCGGGTCCCACCTGCTGTCTCCAATGCCCGGGGTCCTCTGTCCGCCATTAGTGAAATTTTTCTGGTGAATCCCCAGTAACGTTATGCGAACCCCAGTTTGGGAACCACTGGTGTCGATGGGCCCTGGGTTTGATCCAGCCTGGATCAGCGTCACTATGGTCCAGTGATAAAATTGGGGCAGCACAGCACGTAGCCCCATTCTCTGATATTATAAACACTAAACCAAAGCAAAATCGGAGGCTGGTTTAAGCAACTTTTTACCCATCAGTTTCATTTCTCTCCTCAGACAGACAAGGTTTAATTTCTGCTCACGTTCCCCACCCCTCCGAACGCTGCCAAGCCCAAATCACCCAAAACAAGCCACTCTGCTTTGGGTCGGCACCGGTCCATGTCCATAGTGTCAGCGGCCGGGTAGAGCCATAATACCACCAGACCCCCAAAAGACCCCCCTCAACAGTGCATCACCCCACCAGAAATGCTCCATGCGTCACTACAACGGTGGCTCTGTGCACTCCACTCCCTCCCCACACAACCCCAAACCCAGCCTGGCCACTCCCCAATCCTCCCCAGCCCCAACTCGGCCCAAGCTATGCTGCAGCCCCCCAGCTTTGCAACCCCCTGCCCCCCACTGCGTGCATCCCTCCTCCCCTGTGTAAGTGCAACACCACCACCAGAAATGCACCAACAGAAAGATCACTGACCACAGCCTACCAGGCTTGCCAGACTACTGTTATCAGCCGACCCAACCCCCCCTGTACCAAACCAATCCCCCATCCCCTAACCTAGAGTAGTCCAAGCAGGAGGCAGCCGGTGGGGAGAGAGTAGGCACTGCAGGGCGCACACACATGCAACCATCTGACAGCGAGGACCACTTAGAGAAGAGGAACCCAACCCACAGCTGACTGAGCGAGATTCCTGGTTCCCTCCTTCATCTGTAACGCCCTGTCCATCAGGCTGACCTGGGGCATTGGCCTCTCCCCCATTGGCCCTGGGGACTGTCAGTCTCAGAGTCCTGGTCTCTTCCCCTCTCCTTGCTTTGGGTTTTGGGAGAGGGATTGGGCAACCGAGAGCCAATCACGTTCTCCGGCAGGAAATTTAAAAAAAAAAAAAACAAAAAGCAGACAAAGAAAAGACCCCCAAACAAGCCAGGTTAAGCCTCGTCTTAGATCCTGGTATACTGTCTACAGGGAGCCATGGCTGCTGTGAATCCTCTGAAAAGCCTCCGAGATGAAACAACTTGCTCCGTCTGTCTGAGTTTTTATAAAGATCCTGTGTTTTTAGACTGTGGGCACAGTTTCTGCCAAGCCTGCATCACCCAGTGCTGGGAGGGATCAGATACAGACATCTCCTGCCCTCAGTGCAGAGAGACCTTTCCCCAGAGGACCCTCAGGCTGAACAGACAACTGGGGAACTTTGTAGAAATCGCCAAGCAGCTGAGTGTCCCAGCAGGAGAAGGTTGGTGCAAGGTGCACCAGGAGCCTTTCAAACTCTTCTGTAACCAGGACCAAATGCTCATCTGTGTGATCTGCAGAGAGTCCCAGGCGCACCGTGCTCACTTGGTGGTCCCCACAGAAGAGGCTGCCCAGACCTACAAGGTAGGACTTTGCTGTGCAGGGTAATTACTTCGGTTTGGACATGTTTACAGCTTTTATTACAATAGTTCCTAAAGGCACCGAGATCATGGCCCCCGTTGTGCTAGGCTCTGTACAAACACACAGAGAGACATCCCTGCTCCAAAGAGCTGAGAGTCTAAGCCAGTGGTCCCCAATTTTTTCCCCTCAGGCTCTCCCTTACCCTGGCTATGCCCCCACCCCACCCCCAGCTGTGGTTGGGAGCTGGGAGTGGGGCCACAGTCAGAGGCTGGGGCCACAGCTGTGGGGGTGTCTCAGGGTTGGAGGTGGGGCTGGAGCTGGGCCGGGAGTCAGGGGTTCAAACTGGGGTTGGGAACAGAGCCAGGGTCAAGGCTGGGGCCGGGAGTGGAGCTGGGGTAGGGGCTGGGGGCCATAGCAGATCTGGGTAGCACTTCCTCCCTGCCCCTTGTGGGGGCTGGCCTTGGCCCTGCCATGGTCCCGCAAATATTCTTCCATGCTCCACAGTTTGGGGACCACTGATCAACAGTCAAGGTGGACAAACTGTCGGAGAGGGAACAGCGGTACAGGCAGACAAAGGCTGGGGATTCCCAAAGGTACTTAAGGTGTCTATACCTCACATAAGTGGATACATCTCAAGTTTAAGCACCTAAATGCCAGTTTTAGGCTCCACTGCAATCCACAGAATTCCTGCCGAGCCCTGTAGGATCCCAAACTCACTCAGTGCCTGTGTAGTCAGGATACTACTTCTCTCAGTGCCTTTGTTTCTGCCTCTGGGCATGTGCACAGCCACCCCCATAGGCCACACCCAGAGCAATCCATGAGCTGGGGGAAACCAGGCATTCTGCGTCTCTTATCTGTGGGGCCTGATCTGGTGGGCAATTCGAAGGAGTGGGTGGGAAACCGACAGAGGCACAGAAGGGGCAGTGACTTAACCAAGCTCACAAAGCAGCTCAGTAGGAGAGCCAGGAATTAAACCCTGGCCTCCCCATGCCCATCCTAGTACCCTAGCCACTAGACCACGCTGCCTCTCATCGCTCCTGTCATGCAGTTCTCTACCATCACATTACAAACATCTCAGCACAGCTGCAGACTGGAGTTTCAACAGAGCTGGTGCTGGACGTAGCACCCCAGATTGAGCATTTCACATCTGATGGCCGCTGCTTCCAGGCGAGCAGCAGGAAAATAACACATGGTCAGCAGTGTTCTCAAGGGGTTTGTTCTCGGCTACTTTCGGACGCATAAGGTGCTCTGAAAGATTTCTGTTAAAGAAACAAAGGTTAATCTGCTTAACTTTTTCCTCAAGGAAAAACCAGGATGATGAATTCCTGTTTTCCTGGGTTTGCTGAAGGATGGTCACTTTGCTGCTCCTGAAGCAGAAATCATGGGCAACGGGTATGACAGGCCAGGGGAGGCACAGCCCTGCATGGCCCCACCTCCACCTCTAGACTCCCTCCTGCTTCCTGCCGGCGCTCTGCAGCTCTTCCCCCGTGGCTGGTCTGGGGGGCCTCGGGCAGAAGGGGCTGGACTGGGGGCTAGCCTCCCTGAACCAGTGGCTCGCGTCCTGCCCACACAAACTTTGGAGTTTGGCAACATTCTAGGGCCCATGAAGTCCAAGTGGATGGAACCTTAAAAAGCCGGTTGGCAGAGCAATTGACTCTGGACAGAATCTGCTGTGCTCTGTGCTACTCTAGCTTTAAGGATAAAGTGGACTGTATTAGTGTCACAATAAGATTAAAGGAAGAAAATGGTTGATTCCCAGGACCATGTTGAGTCCCAGTACCGGAGCACCTCAAGAAGTGAGAACAAGCCCTTTTCCCCCATGCCAAATAATCGAGGACAATATTTATGCGCTTTGTGAGCGAGTTGGATTTTTAACCAGGAGTCTTTCTCCCAAGTGATCATTAGGTGCTGGAGTTTAATGTACTTTTTTTTTTTTAAAGTGTGTTAAACGTTCTTACCAAAACTCCCTTCCCTTTAAGTTGCTCAGCTTTAACTCTCTGATGTCCAGCTCTCTTCATATAGTTTTCTCTGTCATTGCCTGGGAGCAGGGCGCCTTACCCTACACTGCTGCAAAATGGATACAACTTCAACCCTTTGCCCTGCAGCACTTGGAGGATTTGCTGGAGGCAAAGGACTGTTCTAGACAGAGTCCCTAAGTCTCTATATCAGGTCTGGTGCCCCCAAGGCCTCTCTGTTCCCTGGCAGCATGACACATACAGTACAGCATAGAAGGAAAGCAAGCAGGGCTGAGACTGGGGCCTGAGATGCCCAGCTGCCATGAAATGAATGGGAGCCGTGCTTTTAAATCCTCTCTGTGGCTCCCGGTGAATTACAGAAGAAGATCCTCGAAGCACATTTTCAAAAGCTCCAATTGACTTTAGAGCCAAAGTCCCATTTGCAAAGGAGATTTAGGCCCGAATCCCCAAATGCACTTGGGTGTTGTGCTGCTCAGCATTGCAATGCCTAATTTTTAGGCACCTAGAAAATCACTAAGGACATAAGAACAATGGCCAATGCCAGGTGCCCCAGAGGGAATGAACAGAACACGGCAATTTATCAAAGGATTCATCCCCTGTTGCCCAGTCCCAGCATCTGGCAATCAGACAAGCCCTTACGGTTGCCAGCCTGTAATTGCCAGGATTTCCTCTGGAGCCTTTTTAAAAAACTGGCTTTCCACCAGCTATCCTCCAGTCATCGGGTACAGTTTGGAACAAAAAATCCTGAATTAGGCATTTGGGGGCAGAGAGGCATCCACAAAAGCCAGCCTGCTAGGTGGGAAGACATCTAAACTAGCCCTTGGGAGATGCTGATGAGAAGGGTATGTCCTAAGCCCCACCCCCCTCAGAGTTTGGTGTAGGAATGCGCCTGTCTCTGGGATCCACACCTGGGAACCCCTCTCCTGGAGTCGGGTGGCTTAGGTACCTAAGCTGTTACATGCACGATGGAGTTCTGCGCATATGTCACTCCGCACAACATGGTCGGGGAAGAGGTTGCAGACCTTTTTCATGACCATTAGCCTGGGGGTAAGGCACTCATCTTGTATGTGGGAGACTCCAGTTCAAGTTCTCCCTCTGCCTGATGAGGAGAGGAGATTTGAACAGGAATCTCCCACCTCTCGAGAGGCAATTGTGACATTGCCATGAGCACTGTCTTGGGGCAACTTGAGAGAGAGATAGAAAGTCAATGGTAGTAGAGAACCCAACTCCAGGAGTCTTCTTTGAAAATCCCAGCTTCAGATAATGAAATCAGTACTGCAATGTATATAAATTGCACTGAGGACAGACTCCTCAGCAGGCTGAACCTCCCCCCCCCCCCAACCTTGTTTATCTTGCCTCAGGAACAAATTCACGCCCAATTGAACACACTGAAGAAAGAGAGAGAAGAACTTCTGGAGTGGAAACAGGATGCAGAGACACAAAGCCAGGAATATCTGGTAGGTTCCCCTGGGACAGGGATAGCTCAGTGGTTTGAGCATTGGCCTGCTAAACCCAGCGTTGTGAGATCAATCCTTGAGGGGGCCATTTAGGGATCTGGTGGGGATTGGCCCTGCTTTGAGCACTAGATGACCTCCTGAGGTCCCTTCCAGCCCTGTTGTTCGATGATTGTGATGGTCCAGCAGTTACATCAGTCAGGGTTTATATTTCTCTCTGTGGGGACAGTGTCAGCTATGGCTACATCTACACGGCACGCTGCTGGGGCCGACCTGTAGGGTATGTGTAGCTACACACCACAGTAAGAAACAGGCTGTGTCCATGCTGTGGTGTGTAGCTATGTGCGTGAATAAAAAACTCCAGCTGGGGAGGCAGCAGAGCTGCCGGAGCCTATCCCCACTTCTGGAGTCTTTTCCTGTGGTGGGGAAAGGCTCCAGCAGTGGGGAAAGTCTCTGGCACTGGGGAAGCAGCGAGACACTGCAGTGTAGATGGGGGAGGCACTGCTTGGGGGTGTAGAGCCATGTACGTAGTGTTTATACTCATGGGGTTCAGGCATATCGTGACTCTACTTGCTTAAGCCATGCCTCACCATCTACACTGCTATTTATGCCCATGTTAGCAGGGGCATATAGTGTACGTCCTGTACATTTGTGTAGTAACAGATGTACCTCAAACACTTTTTAATGTCTTTATACTGGTGTAAACGCCTGACATGCAACCTTTTAAACCTTAATTTAATTTGACTCTAGTGTGATGTCTAGAATTCACCTTGTCCAGTTAAACTGAGATAAACGGTGCTAACTAGGAGCAAGGTTGAAGTTAATTCAGGGTTAGCTATAATGTATTGGATGACTCCCAGATAACCTGAAGTGTTGACATACCCTTACAGGGTGTGATCATGTTTGTCTGTGTATATCATCCCTCTGGTCTGATTCCTCCACTGGCTTCCATTTCAACTCTAAGTACTGATCTTATTCCCCCCACATCCAGCTACAAACAGTGATTTCAGAGGAGATTTTCAAAGGCACATATGGTGATTAGGTGCCTAATTCACATTGACTGTCAGTAGAACTTAAGCACCTAGTGGCTGTTTTGTATCTCAGAAATCCTCACCCTGAATCTCCACCTATTACCACCAGACACGACTGGTTTCCTCTGGGACAATGTAATTAACAAAATGTCAGATGAAACATGCAAAAGCTGGAGAAGAAGCATTTTGCATGGTGTGTTTTGTAACAGGTGTTTTATGTGGATACCCAGCAGAACGCTTTCCTTCTTCAGTCTTCTCCACAACTCTCTGCCAATGTATTTCTGATTCTGAGTCAGACCTCCCCCTTCCAACCTTTCTGCTATTGGAAGAATCTAGGTGATCAACAGACTATACTAACGTACTCAGACCTGAAAACTCCTCATTTTAGAGATATTGGGTGACATTTTCAAAAGTGCCTAAGTGATTCGGAGCCTAAGGTTTACAATTTTGCAAGTGGCTAAGGGCCAGATTGTCAAAGGTTTTTAGGGGCTAAAAATGCGGGGAGAAGTGTCCTATTTTTAAAAGTCACTTTCAAAGAAACGTAGGCTCCTTAGCATCAAAACTGACCTTTTGAAAATGTGAATTGGACGCTTAAGTCACCAAGGCACTTCGGAACATGTCAGTCTCTCAGCTGGCCTGAATGAATATCAGGCATGTTCTCCTGAAATCTCGACCATGTGTTCGTAGTATGTTGATATGAAAAGAGGGCTCTAAGAACTGTTCCTATCAGGGAAATGGGGAGAGTCTGGGATGTCCAGCTTTCTCATTTGTGCAAACCGGATGCTGAGCACCGGAATCTGCCCTGTACCCTGCTCTACCATTTTCTCTCGAGGCCCCACCCCCCACTCCTCTTTCCCTCTCCCACTTGTCACTTGCTGCTCTCTCCACCTCCCTCCCCCTGCCAGCTGAGCGGGGCTATAAGGGTGGGGGAGGTGACTGGGGCAGAGTGGGGGAGGGAGAGCTACGCTCCAGGGGTGGCTGGGTGATAGGAGCAGGATGGGGGAGATGCCCGTACTTTTCTCCCCCTGGAACCATCCCTGAGTGCTCCTCCAGGCTCCAGCAGCAGCAGCTGCTGCTCTTCTCGCCCTCTGGTGGTGGAAGCCAGTTACTGTGAGTAACCAGACTTCTACTGCCAGGTTCCCTTTTCAACTGGACTTTCCGGTTGAAATCTGGACATCTGGCAACCCTAGTCCCTGACCTGTCCTTTTCCTGTTTGTCTCTTCATTACAGGGAAAGATAGAAGCTGAGAGGCAGAAGATTGTGTCTGAATTTGAGCAACTGCGGCAATTTCTGGAGGAACAAGAGCGACTCCTCCTGGCCCAACTGGAAGAGCTGGACAAGGAAATTGTGAAGATACAGGATGAAAATGTCACCAAACTGTCTGAGGAGATTTCCCATCTCAGTGACTTGATCAGTGAGATAGAAGAGAAGTGTCAGCAGCCAACAAGCCAATTCCTGCAGGTGAGACAGTTCCACCCAGATCCCTGCCCAGGGAAGGGAGAGCTGCTGATTGATTAACTTTGGCGTTTACTAAGTTCTTGGAGAGGTCCCATTCCACAATGGAGACTGTCAGCGTGTCCTTTAGCAAAGCGAGGAAAAGCAAAATTTGACATTTCTAATATTTCCAATGTGGAAAGAGTTTTGCTGTTTTAAAGGCGGATATCTCAGGCCTTTTTGATACATCCTATGTAAGCCCCTTCATTTTCAGTTTAAACTGATTTTTACCAAAACATTCCTGGGTTTTACATAAAGTATTATTCGTTTTTTTTTTTTCTGATTTTCAACTTACTTTTGTATCATTCAAATATATAAAAAATAACTTGTTTTATTAGGAAAATACAATATGTTGCATGAGATAGATGGATTATGATAATACATTTAATGTGTGTGTATATGCAAAGCTGCCTGTTTGAAGTAAGGCTACATAGTAGTCTAGAAGATGCACACAATACACAAACAGGCACGCACGGAAGTGCTGAAGTGCGTGTGCATCTGAATTTATTGATGAATCTCACGCCCACCACGTACTGTTGGAGGACAATGGGTTAAACATTTGACACACTAAGGTGGGAAGAAAATGGAAAATCTGTATCAGAATACGTTTCAGAACACAAGGCAGTATTCGAAAGGTTTAAAGAAACAAAAAACAGGAGAAAAGGCTGAAGTTGAGTGAATGCGCCGCAAATGGTGCGGCCCAATTATTAAATGTAAATATTTATAGACCAATAGTTCTAAGTCTACAACAGTCTACTGTTTATTCAAATGAAAAGTTTTGTTTGGAGACAGATTGTTTTCTTAAACTCAGAGGTGCCATTGTGTTTTGAGTTCTGTTTTAGTTCTGCAGCAAACATTGCTGAACAGAATTCAAAGTGTTAATCTACTGAAGACTTCCCCCCCTCCCCCGCCCACGTCTTTCATCCACCAAAATAAACTCCAGATATTTACCCAGAAAAATTAATAGTTTTTTGCACTGATTTTCACCTGTTTTTGTTATTGTGGGAATAAACCCTGCTAAATTCCTGGGAAAAATTAAATAAAATAAAAACAGAAAACGAAGGGCCCTAATGATCTGGACGCAATAAAAGGCACAAGTCCAGTTTCCAGGAAGTGGGAGATTAGGAAAGCGAAGTTCTTTGCGGAGCCTATTAAGAAATGGGAATGAATCCAGCTTCCAGAATTGCTGACCAGAATTGCATACATGGAGCTTTTAGCTTGAGAAAGGCAAACGCTCTGGACACAGCAGTTGCATGTGGAAGTCAAGGATTTGTGTATCTGATGAGTCTGTTTGGGCTAGTGCCATTGGCACAAGCAAAACAGAATTTAGAAGGAGAAACCCCACAACCATGGTGAGTGCTTAGGGGCCCCTTTCCATCGAAGTCTGTGAATGGACTTTTGAAGTTGCTAACTACAGAGAACTGCATCTAGAACTCAACTAGGGATGGCAAAGTGAGTCCTCTCCAGAGCAGGAGCGATCGCCAGCTTGTGGCACATGGGACTGATCTCTCTCTCTCTCTCTCTCTTCTTTTCTAGGATATCAAAAGCATCTGGAGCAGGTACGTGACTCCTTCCCACTCCCCCTCACGCGTCATGATGCTGGAAGGGGATTGTCCCCCTGGGGTCAGATTTTTGCAGGGCATTTAGACACCTGAGACGTAGCTAGGCACTTGGTGGGGTTTTCCAAAGCAGCTAAGTGTGTTAGGCACCTCCCATTGCGGTAAGTGGCAGTTGGGAGCTTAGCTTGGTTGGTGCTTTGCAAAATCTCAGGGAGGCACCTTTAAAAATTGGGCCTTAAGTGACTTGCCCAAGGTCACGCAGGGAGGTTGTGGCAAAGCAGGGAGTGGAACACAGGTTTCCAGAGTCCTGCAGCAACCCCTTAACCACTGGAGCATCCTTTCCGACGGGATTAGGCCCCTCTGTCTGAGGGGGCAGCTTGTGGACCCCTTGCTCTCGTTAACTCCCATTTGAGGATCTAGGCATTTAAATACTCCAGTGAGGAGGGCAGTTTGACTCACCAGTGGGAGTTAGAGGCTCACAACGAGCCCATGAGAGAGCAGCCTCTGGGTAAGTCTATACTTACCTTCCGGTCCGGCGGTAAGCAATCTATCTTCTGGGTTCGATTTATCCCGTCTTGTCTAGACGCGATAAATCGATCCCGGATCGATCCCGGAAGTGCTCGCCGTCGACACCGGTACTCCAGCTCCGCGAGAGCAGTACGCGGAGTCGACGGGAGAGCCTGCCTGCCGCGTCAGGACCCACGGTAAGTTCGAACTAAGGTACTTCGACTTCAGCTACGTTAGTTGCGTATCTTAGTTCAAAGTGGGGGGTTAGTGTGGACCAGGCCTCTGGTAGCTCTTTCTCCCAAAAGACAGAAAAGATTTAGAGAATGTTTTTGATTTTCCCTCTAGGTGTGAGAAGGTGAAGTTTGCGAAACCAGTGAACGTGCCACAGGATCTGAGAGAGAGACTCTGTGTCTCTTCCCAAAGAAATGTTTGTCTACAAGAGGCTCTGAAGAAATTCAAAGGTAACACTGCTCTACAGCCAAAATGCTTCTGAAATAAATGTAGTCA